CTGGACTAGACAAAGATTTAGGGGAATCAAGAGAGTTTTAAGATCCCATTAAGGTGTAAAAGGAAGGTGAGGGAGAGATGTTTAAAGAGGTAAGAAATACAAATGGTGAGGGAAGCCAGGGTGGAGCACAGGGGCAGGCAAGGGAGCAGAGAATTCTGCAGGAGGGCTGGCAGGGACATCCTGCAGAATGAGGACAATTACAAACCTGAATTACAATAATTGCAAACCTGAATTACACATTTATTCACACCAGGATAGTTCTACACCTCAGTAAGTGAGGGCTAATCCAAGGATCCTTTACCTTTTTGTGTCCCAGAACTGCCTGAGAGCAGCAAATAATTTACAATTTCTCTGTCTGCTCAATGTCAGATCTGTTTTAACCCTCTGGCTTTTCTGCTGTTCCTGGATCCCCTTGATGGTGGCAGGTTGAGGAGATGTCCAAGGGCAGACCTTTGGCTGCCTCAGAGCTGGCAGGACTTGCATCCCCATCACGTTGCTCTAGGAAGACTCTTCCCAGCAGTGTCTCTGTCCTGCAGAGCAGCACCAAGTAGGGTAAATTTTGCAACAGATAAAGGGGAAATATTATCAATAGTTGGATGTAAATGCAAATATAAATGGGATATAAATAATATAAATATAATGTGAATAATATAAATATAAAATACATTTAGGATATAGAAATAGAAAGAGAAACAAAGCCAAGAAAGCAGGAAGGGGGTTAGGGTTCAGGGGAGCTAAGTCACTGTGCCCCACCAGTTTATTTGGATATAAGGCCACTGAGATGAGTGATGGGCAGTGACCCTGGGTTATCCCCCACCCCAGGCTGCAGGAGGGGAGGGAGGAGGACTGGACTGGGGTAATGTCCCCTTTCTCTGCCACCCCTCTTCTTGTCCCCATTACCTTGAAGTTTTGTCTTAGACCAGACATGGCTTAAAACCAGCCCTAAATGGCACTAGACCCTCGTGGCTAAAACGAGCCCTGTGATGCATTTTTTGGGTCCTGGCTGTATCCTGAGCATCCCACAGGCTCTGCTCCCCGTGAGATCTGTCCTCCCATCCCCACGGAGCTGGGAGGGGGGATATGGAAACATTCCCTCCTTAACCTGCCCCTTCCAGCTGTGGTTTGTGCACTTCAGCCCCGAGCGCTGCCTGCAGGCCCTGTCCTCCCACCTCACCCACCTGCAGAGCACTGCACAGGTAAGGGGGGTGGGCACAGCCTGGGCACACCCTGGGCACACCCTGGGCACACCTGCAGGTCCAGCCCTGGGCCCCAGGGTTGGTGGGATGGGGGCAGAGAAGTGTTTTGATCAGGTTATTAAAATTATTAGAAATGCCTCTGCCCGAATTAAAGTGCAAACAAGACCAGCTGCCAAAGGCAGGAGTATGGATTTTATTTAACTGCAAATGTGAATAATTTAACAGTTAATAATTTAACAGTACCAATTGAATTAATATTTATTAATTAATTGTTTAATTATTTAAATAATTATTTAATTAATTATTTAATATTAATTTAATTAATGTTAAATATTACTTAAATTAATATTAAATTTAATAATTAACATTTAACATTAATTAAATATTAATTATTGAATTTAATATAAATGGTAATATTTAACATTAATTAAATCTTTAATATTATTTAATTACTATTATTTAATTGCTATTATTTAATTGCTATTATTTAATTACTATTATTTAATTGCTATTATTTAATTAATGATTAAATAATAACCAATAATAATAAACTACTAAGAATAATCGATTAAATAAATAAAACAATTAATATTTCTTGATTGTTATAACAAATAATTTATTAATAAAATAATTGAATTTTTAAAAAAAATATTTTATTATAAAATAATAGTAATAAAATTAATAAAATTAATAAGTAATAGCCAATTACTATTAATTAAATAATAATTTAATAAAAGTACCAATAATTTTAAGAGTAAATGTGTAATTTACTGTTATTTAACAGTAAATGTGAGGCAGAGAAAGAGAGAATGAAACAGGAAAAGGAGGAGAGGGGAAGAAAGAGAGTGACAGAGAAATATGAAAATAGAAAATTTATCATCACTCTGAGATGATTTTTGACAATATTTAAGGGATTAACAACATTTCAGCCCAACACAGCAAGGACAAAAAAGTGTTTGAGTGTCCTCCCGAGCTTCTCCTGCTGGGAACTGGGCAGACTGGGAGGTGGATCAACTGCACCTGCTGCTGCCCAGTTCAGCAGGAGCTTGTTTTGATTTGTTTGTTTGTTATGTGCGTGGCTGGGTAATTAACTGCACAATTTTAATGAAAGAAAGTCATCAGGAACCAAAGAAAGGCCAATTTTGGAAGCACGTGTCCCAACCTGAAAGAGCTGACACCTTGAGCTGTCCTCCAGGAATAAATGGGATGGCCTGAGGGAGAAGGAAATGCTGTACTGGGTTAATTGGATAAAAATGTTGTCCTCTTGGCCTCCAAGGGAGTGTTTGTCTCTCTGTGGTGTATAAATATCCCCTGAACTGCCCTTGCTGGCTGTGGGATGAGAGGTGAGGGGGTACAACCCTCCCAAAACCCTCCAGGTTGCTCTTCCCCCTGCTGAACCAACAGCTGCAGCCTGGGGGATGGACAGTGACCCCCCCTTATCCACACACAGGGGATTTTATAGACTTACATTTTAAAACCTCGGATTTTAAACACTCAGATCTTTTAAAACTCAGATTTTAAAGACAAGATTCCCCCTGTCAGGCTGTGATCATTGTCCTGGGAACAGTCACTGCCACAAGAGCTCATGGATGTGGGATGGACACCCACCTCCAAGTGCTTGGGATGGTAAACCCCAGGAGTGAAAAACATGCAGGAGGAAATTGTTAAAGCCCTTTAAAGGCTGTTCCCAGGACACCACTGCCTTTGGAGAACCTAAAATCTTTCTCTTCCAGGCAGGATTGAGGCACAGGCTGGACAAGCTCTGTGTGGTCATGGAGGCAGCAGTTCAGCCCGACCTGGGGACAGAGGATGAGGAGGCTCCACGTGAAGAGTCCCCTCTTTTATCCAGTGGGGAGAACCTGAATAAAAAGCCTGTGACATGCAATGAGCTGCTCTGCCTCGTCCCTGAGGGCCCACCAGAGGTAAGGAGAAATATCCCTCCCTGACAGCCTGAGGCACCAAATCACCTCCCCAGGCAGCTCAGCTCCAAACCTCATCCCAGCACCCGCCAGCCGTGGGAGACTCCTCCTTTTTCACCACCAGAAGCACCTGGAATTCCACACACACCTTCTCCAGCCCTGCTGCTGCTGAGCAGCTCAATCAGCCAATGCTTAATCCTTGAGGAATTCATGGCTTGGGCTTTTCCTTGCTGGTGGCTGGGGGTCCCAGTTTGGAAGACAAACTCTACCCAGGGACCTGGTGCCCCTGTCCAGGCTGGGGATGAATTATGAATGAGCCCAGCCTCTGTTCCCTCCACAGAAAGTGCCTTCAAAGACTTGTGCCATGCTGAGCAACAAATGTGTCCTCATTCCTGCTCAGCAAGGAGCTTCAAAAGGGATGATTTTGATTTATTTTCCAGTTTTCCTCTTGCTGTTACTAAGTGAATTCTGTGCAGGTGCCATCCCTGCAGATTGAGGCTCTCTGGCTGTCTAGAGGCCAAAAAGAAAAAAAAAAAAAGCCAGAGGAGGCAGTGACAGAGTGGGCAGGTCCCCAAGCTCCCAGGCCACCCACGGGTCATTTTGTGTCCCTCCCCTGTGGGGACAGTGCTGACCAGAAGGGGATCTGGGACAGTTATATGTGCCAGTGGCTGCTGTCCTGCTCCTCTCAGAGCAGGACAGTCCTTGAAGGAAGGAACAAATGGTGTTTAATACCACTCTCTCTGCCCAGATGCTCTCCCTGACACCTCTCTGCTCCTTCCAGGCCATGGCCCAGCAGCTCCTGGTGATCTTCAGCGGGTGCTACGTCCGGCTCCTGGTCACGGGGCAGCTCCCTGGGGCCGTGGCAGGAGGGCACCTGGAGCACAGCACCGTGCCCTGTCTGTGCCAGTTCATCCAGACCACCGTGCTCGACTCACACCAGAGCTGGTTCAGGGGCAGGTGACCCCCAGAGGGGGCTGGAAAACACCAAAATAAAAGCTGTCCCTCCACACCAGTGGGGCAGAAGGGAGGGCTGTGATCCCTCATCCTGGATTTACCCAGATGGACATGTGGAAGTAGGACTCCAATAAAACATGCAGGACACTCACAGAAAAGCTGCTTGCCTTGGAGACTTGCCTGCCCCTGGCTCAGGGGGAAGGAGCTGCCCCAGGGGTCAGAAACAATCCAGGCACAGGCTGGAGGAGCTCCTGTGGGACATTTCTCACTGCTCTTACCTGGGGGGCTCAGAGAGTCACAGGGAACACCCACAGGTGCCAATCCCACACCTTTGGAATGAAGTACGTGGGAGTTTCCAGCACAAGGAAGACAGGGAAACGCTGCCTGGAGGTGTTGGAAATGTGCTGCCTGCTCTGGGCTGTGTTTGTGTCACACAGTTGTCAGGGACAGTGTCTCTGCCCTGTGACATGTGGGCACTGTCCCAGTTGATGACTCAGCACACTTTCCACTCAGGAACAAGGTGGGGACAGTGCTCAGTACCTGCTACTTCTGCTGCCTCCCCTGGGAGGGAGGAGGTGATGGGCACGGAATCATGGAATCAGGAATCACAGAGCTGGAAGGGACCCACAAGGATCATCGAGTCCAACTCCTGGCTCTGCACAGGCCCATCCCCAAGAGTCACATCTCATAGAAACACAGAATGCTTTAGGTTGGAAGGAACCTTAAAGCTCAGCTCATTCCAACCCCCTGCCACAGGCAGGGACACCTTCCAGCAGACCAGCAGAGCCCTGGGTGATCCTTGGGATCAAGCCTTGGAGAGGGCACTGGGTAGGGCATCCTGGGGCACTGCTCTTTTCAGGCTCCCTTTTCTGCTCCATTTGCAGGCTGATTTCCTTTGTTTTTCCTTTCCTCTCCATGCTCTCCATCTGCACACAACACATGAGAGGAGCCAGTGGAGAGCAGGAGACCTCAGTGTGTCCATGGGATCCATGAGGGAATGGCAAAGGAAGCACTGTGGGTTGTGTGCTCAGGTGGTGCTGGTGTCTTCCTGTCCCACAGCCAGGCCCTTCCATGACATTCAGGTGGCTCCTTGTACTGGTGTGACCACCTAATCCCCAGTTTGGTGGTGACACCTGTCCCAGGGAGTGGCAGTGTCAGAATAAAGAGCCCAAGGTGTGCTTTTTCCAGCCTTGCTGTGGCTGTTCTCCACCTTCCAGCCTGCCCTCCCTCCTTCCCCCCCCATCCCCTGCAGAGGCCCACAACCCCCAGGGCAGGGTTTGTGCCTCTCCCACCTTCACAAAGCCCAGCATGGCCCACACAAAGCCAGGAGGGTTTTAAAATTAAGGTCAGTGATTTGTGTACATCCCCTCCTGCCACCAAATTGTACCAGCGAAGGCCAAACCATCACTCAGGGCAGCACGAGGCCGAGCCCTGGAGCTTTGGGAGCTCTCACTCAGCTCTTCCCAGGGGTGCAGGATGACTCTGCTCCCTCTCTTATTTTTATCACAAGCAATGGTGAGGCAGGAGCCACCTCTGCCTACATGAGCAGCCAGAGGACCCTCAGCACTGAGTCCCAGCACCACAAGGACAGCAAACCTGTTCCAGGACAAAACCCACCACTCTCCCAACCAGCTGCTTTTGATCCAACTTTACTTCTGGTTCAGCTGTCACAGGAGGGGGTCGGGCAGAGTCTCCCCCACGAGTGTGAGGTTTGTGATTCTGCTGTCATTGCTCTGTGACACTGCAGGGGTCGGGGGGGTCCTGCTGTGCCCCTGCAGCCTCTGCTCTGGGGGAGCTGGTTGCCCATTCAGACTGGGCATGGGGGAAGGGATCATACAAAACATCCTGGGATTTCCACAGCCCTGAGCTCCCAGACTCCTCACTCCAGCTCAGGGACTGATTTGACCTTCATGGAAACTGTCTAATTTTATACCAATATCATCAGGAGCACAAATTGGTTTCACAGGATAAAATTCCAAATCACTGCTGGGATGCAATGGCTCGAGCTCTTCCTCTGGTATTCCATGGCCCAGAAGTGCCAGGAGCATCTGATACATATTGGGAATCTTCTTTTTTTGTCTACCAGCTGGAAAATTCCGGTAACAGGAGACCAATTAAGATGTTTTCTATCGTTGTGCTTCTCTGTTGAGAGCAGATACAGGAGGGATTTGCTGATATTTTCCAATCCCTGCGCTGCAAGATTCCCAGCAAATGGATTCCCTGGAGAAATCAGTGGGAAGAAATCTTGTGGCCTTCATGGGAGGACCTTGAGGGTTTTACTGTCAGGACCTGCACTGGATGGGTTTGATGTTCCTGGGAAGGGAGGCTGTTGCTTCAGGAGGTGCTGATACCTCACCCTTTACATCTGCAAATGCACAACAAGAGGAGAAAAGAGGGGGATTTGGGATTAGCCAAGGGGAAAGGGAAAGGATTTGAAGGGACAAGGCTGGGATGTGAACAGGGAAGATGCTCCAAAAACCATAAATAGCATAGGTGTGAGGAGTCAGGCCGGGTTTGTGACATGGAGAGCCCACCTTGCTGCGAGGAGGGGATAAAGAGCCACAGCTTCCAAGCTGTGACCCCACCAGTGCCTCTGGATCATCCACATTTCCCAGCCAGACCATTCCTCTGCTGAGCCACGTGCTCCTGGCACCCTGTGCTGGGCCAGCTCTTCCTGAGGCACCACAGAGCTCCTGGCTGGGGAATGCTGTGGGACAGAGGGATGTGCAGCCCCCCCATTGCACTGGCACAGCTCCTGCAGCCACAGATCTGAGGGGCTGCTGTGCCCAACCCACACAGGGCCAGACCCTCTGCTCGTGCCAGCCTGGCATCTCCCCTGACTGCAATTAAACACCCAGCAATTAACTGCAGTGAGGTGCTGAACCTCTTTGCTCAGAGGAGGAGTTTGATTTCTCTCACTGATACACCCAAGTGCCTGCCCTGAGCTTCCCAGCTGGAGCCTCTGCTAAATCCTGACTCTGTTTTTCCTTCATATGCACTTAATTAAGGCATTAAGTGAAGGGAAACACTCCCTTTCCCTTCCCCATTAAAGATCTAGCTGCTATTTTAGGGAACAGGTGATATTCTAGAGACTTTATAGGATTTCCTGAGCACGTAGTTTGCTTTTCTTCTCCTCCCCACAGCACATGGGAGCAGCAGGAAGGGAATGGCTCAGCCCTACACCTTCCCTGGAGTCTCCAGTGACAACTCCTGGCAGAGGCAGGAGATCCCAGGCATGAGCTGACCGCTGTGGCAGCTGCCTGGGAATGTGCCCCTGCCTGGGAATGTGCCCCTGCCTGGGAATGTACCCCTGGCTGGGAATGTGCCCCTGCCTGGGTGCAGCTCTGGGCATGTTTGCACAGGAGCAACCAGGAGTGACTCAGCCAAACCAGTACAACTGGTATTTGCTGGGCAGATCTCTGCTGTGCTGAGATTCCTCTGTCTGCTGTTCAAAACTGAGTTTACTTTGACAGTGAGGTTTAACACTTGAGCAAGGTGATGTAGGAGCAGCTCTGAGTGAACCTTCCTTGCCTTGACTGGGATGGGTGAGGAGCCAGGATGGCCCTTGCTGTACCCTCTGTGCCAAACTGGGACCAGCTGCTCTGGGGGTTTTGCATGAGTGATCTACAAAGTGTGGTTTAAACGAGCCAGGAAGGGGATGGGGAAGATTGGGAAGCAAGACCAGGGATCTCTTCCTGCCTGTGGGGGTATGGAGATGTATTTTGGTATTTACCAGCGTGCATGAAACATCAAAGACTGTCCCAGGGACACGTGGCCCTGGGGGAGCAGGTGCCATCCTCTTGCCCCTCTGGTTTCCCCCCCCAGAGCGTGTTTGTCCCCTCTTCCAAAGGCTGCTATTTGCTCATCCCCCCTGCCAGGGGCTGGGATGGAACCAGGACGTTTAACAACAAAACCCAGCGAGGGAAGACAAAGGAAAGAAACTTTTGTAACTTCCACCTGTTCCTCCTCAGCCCAAGCGCCGGGCTCTGAGACAGACTCTGGTCACCGGAGCACATGGAGGGAGGGGGCAGGGAGGTGTGGAGGTGCCCTGGGAGCCCAGGGGAGCCCTGGCCCCTCCATCCCGGGTGTGTGGGTGTCCCTGTCCCCCCGGGGTCCGGACTCACTCTGTCGGTGGCCGCGGGGCTCTGCCTGTGCCGGGCAGGGCGGTGGCTCCCGGCTCCATAGGGTCCTCATCTTCCTGGCCACATAGCGGCAGGCTGGGGGGAAAGGGGAGACCCCTGCTCACTGCAGGAACCTGAAATAACCCCAAAACACCCTCCCCAGCGAGCCCAGAGCGGGACCTCTCGCTGAGCTGGAGGTCCATATAGAAGGGGATCGTGGCGGGGCTTGCGGGACCCACGGCAGGTTGTGGCCAAAAGCAGCAGAGGGAATGGAGGGACTGGGTTTAACAGGTTAAAAGGGAGTTGTTAGTGTGTCTGGAGCCCTGGCTGTGTTTCCAGCTACTCCAGCCTTTCTCCCCCCACGAGCCAAAGCCATAAAACACGCGGAGCGTTTACCCTGCGGGAACCCCTCTGAGCTCCCTCGCCTCAAACCAGAGCTTTCCTTACCGTCGATAATTACTCAAACCATTTTTGTCGCGGGCTCAGCAAATCTGCCCTTCCCAGCCGGCCTGGCTCTGCCTCCCGCTCCTCTCGCAGCAGCTCTGCAGTGTTCACTCACCAAGCCCGGCTCCCTCCTCCCCTCCCTCCCTCCTTCCCACCCTCCTTCCCACGGGGATGCTGCTCCCGGAGCGCCCGGTCACGGGCGGGGCGGTGGCTCAGCCTGGCGCTGCCCCCGGGATCCCTGCCCAGGAATGCGATCCCTGCTCCTCCCGGAAAGGAGAAAGTGCTCTGAGTGTTGGCTCCGAGGTTTGAGCCGGCCGTGGTGGAGGGGAAAGGGAAAGGACAGGGAAAAGTGGCCTGGCCGTGGCTGGAGGAGCTGCTGGTGGTACCTTGTGGCTGCTGGAGGATCTGGGTTTGAGACGCGGGAGCTCATCAGCTGAGCTGGGTGGGATCACTGCGGTGGGCACTGTGCTTGTGCAAGCAGGGGAGAAGAGTGGGATGTTTCTTCTCCTTTCCTGCTGTCGTCTGGGTGCTGCAGGGACATGGATATCTTAGAATCACAGGATGGTTTGGGTTGGAAGGGACCTTAAAGATCATCTAGTTCCAAAGCTGTGCTGTGGGCAAGGGTACCCCACACAATCCTTCCATCCCCCATTCAGACCTTTGCACCTTTTTATACCCTGTCCCAGTGAGTGAGGGGGGAGGAAAGGGTGACATCCCCAGCAGACAAGATGCAGGCAGAGGCTTTGCTTTCTCCAGGATCCTTTGGGATCCCACCTTCAGAGCACTGATGGATTTTAGTCCTCAGCGCAACCAGTTACTGAAGCAATGCAGGTTTTGTACATTTTCCAGACCTTGCTGCTGTTTGTGCTTGTCTGTGCTCCTTAATCTCAGGCAGGTGAGCTCTGAAAGCTTCTGCTTTGCCCTTTGACCAAGGCAATGTGTTTCCCATCTCCAAACCGAGCACTCGCTGATCCAGGTGGGTCAGACTTTGTTTTCCATGGCCTTGCCTTGGGATTGTGTGAGGCTGGTCAGAGATGTGGCTGATGGAGGGCAGGGATAGTCTCTGCCAGGGCTGCACAGCCCAGGCTGCTGCAGCACAGTCTGTGAGATCAGTGTGTGAGAGAGAGGAGCTGATGTCTCACCACCCACTCTCAGTCTTGGTCCTCCATGGTGGAAGGTCTGAGTAAGCCCTGATGGGCTGAAAACTGTAAAATACAGCATAGAAACCTTCAGCTCAGCTGGTGGCCTGTGGTGGTGGCGTGTGGTGCCAGTGACAGGCAAAAGATTGAGTGGCCATGAAGAGCAGCCTCTGCCCTAAACCATCGAGGACTCCCCGTCACACCCTCAGATCACAGAAGGGCTCAGGTGGAAGGGACCATAGAGTGTCATCTGGTGCCACCTCCCTGCTCCAGCAGGGCCGTCCCAGAGCACATGGCACAGGACTGTGTCCAGATGGTTCTGGGATATCTCCAGCGAGGGACACTCCACCTCATCTCTGGTCTCTCTTCAGTCACTGCCCAGCAAAGAAGTTCTTCCTCCTGTCCAGGTGGAACTTCCTGGGCGTCAGTTCCTGCCCGTTCCTCCTGTCCCATTGCTGGGCCCCCCTGAGCAGAGCCTGCTCCATCCCCTGCCCCCTCCCTGCAGACCCTGCCAGATATTGAGGTGGTCCCTTCTCAGTGTCTTTTCTTGAGGCTGAAACAGCCTCAGCTCCCTCAGCCTTTCCTGGTCAGGGAGATGCTCCATCCCTTCAGCCTCTTTGTAGCCTCTGTTGGACCCACTCCAGGAGCTCCATGTCTCTCTTGAGGAGCCCAGAACACAGCACTCTACATGTGGCCTCCACTGAAGCCTGCAGGAGCTTGTGATCTGTAGGTGTTAAAAAAAATTAATCAAGAGAAAACCCCCAATCCCTGAGCAACACCCTCCAGACCTCCCTCCTGAACCTCTCAACCTCCAATCCCTCCTGGAGGAACAATCCTTCCCGTCCTCAGATGAGCTCCCGAGGATGAAGGGAATGATTGTACCTTGTGCTGAAGCACAGAGTGAAGGTGGCTGGAGGAGTGAGCTGCTCTTCTGAGGCTTTGCTGCTGGCGATTTGGCTCCCCTCGACTCCACACGTGGCCCTTGGGTGTTCTCCTCTGCCAAATGTCGCTGTGGAGCTGCCGCCTTGGGTGTGCAGGCACATCCCTCTAGATGGTGCTAAGATAAAGAGAAAAGATGGGTGGTGAGAGGCCTGGGAGGAGGGATGTCCTTCTGGGCGTGGGCTCTGCTCCTCTGGCCCTGCCAGAGGTCTCCTGGGTGAGGAGAGCACCTCCCTCTCCTCTTGCTCCCGGCGAGTCTCCCGTGCCCTCCTCCAGGCATTCTCCTCTGGTGCTCATCGGTCCATTGGCAATAAACACATCCCAGGCCCTTCTCCCACTTCTTGTTTCCCTTGCTGGTGCTCAAGACTCCACAAATTCATCACGATTTTAATCAGTGCATCTTCTCCCACCCGTGCACGGGATCAGACAAGTTGTATTTTTAATGGCAAAAATCCATCTTGGCTGGTTTTTTCCACTTCAACCAGTTTTACTGAGCAGCACAGCTAAGACTCATCAGCTGAGTCCTCTTCTATCTCATGCACCATTAACCAGAATCTTAACCAAATCCAAGCATGGATAATGTTTGATTTATTGATGTGGGCAATGAAAAGAGAGTTCAGCCTGGCTGCCAGAGAACAGCAAGGATTAGTGTGAAGGGAAGTCATTTAGAGCCACAGCTGAACAGATTTTACTGTGGAGTCCCAGATGGGCAGTAAATGAGCTGTTGAAAGAGAGATGTTGTTAGAAGAGACTTTTAAAAAAGAATAGCCATGTTAGGGTCTGGGTTTTTTTTTCCCACTAAATAGGGTGAAGAACAACTCTATGAACCTCAATAGCACTGGTGAGGTGAGCTGAGCTCCTCTCCCTGTGCCTTCTGCAGAGGGAGAGGATGTTCCTACACACTGAAGGGCACAATCAGGCAGCTCCTTGGCACAGGCAGGCTTAGCTTGATTGGGATTGAGGAACCTTCAGCTCCCACCCAGGATTGGGACCACAGAGCAGCCTCACAAGAGGGTTTTGGTGCTGGTCCTGTGCACCCAGCTCTGGCAGCTGCCCCTCTGTCACCACTTCCCTCAGTCACTGAGAGAGGCTGTTACATGTTTTAATTGCTCCCCAATCTAGATTTGTTGGCCTGAGCATTGTGTGTGGTTTCTACTCATACAGGAGGACTGCTTTTGCCAAGTTTTCTTTCCAAGAATGGCTCAGCTCCATTTGTGATGAGCCCATAAACTGGATTAAGGGCTCAGGGACAGATTTCCTAGTATTTGAAACCCATAATCTGGGCTGGGTTTTCAGCACAGCTCAGTGCCCTTGTAAGCAGTAAATTATGGTCGTTAAGTGCTCAGCACTTTGTGGTTTGTATCAGGCTGCTCGAGGCCATGGTTTCTGTGAAGCAGCACCCAGAGCTCCAGGATCTTGGGAAAAGAAGGGCAGTGTTCCCAGTGCTGATGTGAGAACTGAGCTTTTCTGATGATGAGACTCCCCAGCCTCTTGATTCTCCTTTTCAAGAAGAGCAAAGAGCTCTAAAGAATTAGTCATCAAGTCAATCCATGCTCTGGAGACAACCTGCCACCCATCCAGGCTCTGATATTGCCCATGACAGAACATCACCTGAAGCTCAGGAGGGACCCCATCTCCAGCCATCAGGCTGATGCCATTTCAGAGCATCTCTGCTGTGGCCACCTCTGAGACCTGTGGGGTTTGCAGAGAGACCTCAGTTAAACCAGGGCTGTTCCAGGGAGTGATGTGGCCACAGCTCAGTCAGACTCACAGACTGGTTTGGGTTGGAAGGGATTTTAAAGACCATCCAGTCCCACCCCCTGCCATGGGCAGGGACACCTTCCACTAGCCCAGGTTGCTCCAAGCCCTGTCCAACCTGGCCTTGGACACTTCCAGGGATGGGGCAGCCACAGCTTCTCTGGGCAACCTGTGCCAGGGCCTCCCCACCCTCACAGGGAAGGATTTCTTCCTGATATCCCATCTAACCCTGCCCTCTTTCAGTAAGAAACAATCTCCCTCTTGTCCTGTTACTCCGTGCCCTTGTCCAAAGTCTCTCTTCAGCTCTCCCAGAGCCCCTTAGGGGAAATGCCCACAATTTGCCCAAGTGTGTTGTGGATTTTCCCCCCCAGCCCTTCTCCCAGTGCTTCAGCTCAGCTCCATGGTGGCACCTTCCTTTGAACACCAGTTTGCTCAGGAGGACATAACCGGGGGAGATGGGTTTGGGGAGATGGGGGTGGGGATCTGGTCCAGTTCAGAAGAATGGACAGGTGACATTTATCATCCAGGGCACTGCAAACCAGCTCAGGAGCAGCTCAGAGGGCCCTGTAAACACGGTGCTGCTGCTGTTGACTTCTGTGCTGAAAATAACCATGGATAAACTGATACCCTGTGTTGGAAAACCTCACTGGCATCAGGAGGAGTCAAGGAAAAAGCAAAGCATCAACAAGTCCACACAGAGCTTCCTGCAGAGGTCTGGGGATGGAGAGGTCTCAGAATCACAGAACCTGCTGAGCTGGAAGGGACCCACAAGGATCGAGTCCAACTCTGCCCTGCACAGGACCATCTGCACACTCACACCACGTCTCAGTGCCCAGGAGGCTCTTGAGATGGTGATTATGGATGACAAAAACACGGAAAAGGATTTTTTTTTGGAGCCGAAAAATGGCATCATGGTTTTTTTCCAGACGCTTCGTTCTTGGCACGGACGGTGGGGAATTTCGGTTGATTCAAACATTCCTCAGGTGGTTGTGGCTCTTGGTGACCTCTTTGCTGTGGCACTGGTGCTCATTTCTGCTGCTGGGCCCGTGCCACCAGCCCAGCCCAGCTCTTCCTCTCCAACCTGGATCCAGTAGTGGCAAACAGAACATTCCTGAGTAATTGGTCCTGATGTTCACAAGTCTGAGGAGAGGTGAAGGTGGCTGCAAGTCTTTCATGGAAAAACATCCCAAAATCCTCTGCCTGTGCCTTTGGCGAGGTGACAGCCCTGCTGAAAGGAAACAGAGACACCAGCACAACTCAGAAATAAATAACCATGACATGGAAAGTGTCCAGCCCAGGGAGGGCTCCAGGAGGATGGGGGG